TTATATAAGTTAGTACAGTAATAAGGTTAATTGAGTGTGTTCAGTTAGCTAGGTGTATAAAGCCTTTGTATCAGTTATGTAGGTCCATGTACTGTATGTATATTTTATGTACCGCATATACTCGCGTTTAGTTTGAGTTTTTAAAACCAAATTTTTAGGCAAAAAATTGAGGGTCGACCTCTACATGGGTAATAGTTTTGTTAGGTTGAATCCGTGCATGATGGAAAGGGCGAGGAGCAACTTTTAGCTTCAGACATGAAAAATATATACCATTTACTGCCAGTAAACAATGAAAACATAAAATATGTACCAATTAGTAATGAAAAGTTGTGCAGTTCCTTCAGCAGATGAAGCTCACCAACTTACAATAGACTAAATTACCTTACAGCGTGCTTTCAGTAGTCTATGTTGAAGTTCTTAGCACAGGCTAACTTATCATATCATATACGGTATCACAGTATGTACTCATTGATCTACAAAAAATACCGGTAATAAAGACCTTTTTGATATTTCAACTTAATATAATACCCGTTAATCCACCTCAACCTCATATTGTATGCACGACCAGCTGTTGAGTATCAGCTAGACGTTACACGTGTTTTTTTTAATCGTTTTCAGTTAAAAACTGTTACATCACACGTATATTTTACCTTAACTGTGTCTGAATGAATATATTCTCGGAAATAAATAGTAGTTTTGCTGAAACGTGATGTATTTTAATGTAAAATAGGATAAAATACATGACGAAAACAAAAGACTTTACCTAACCTTCCGATGGTCAAGAGATGTTACTCGTTTTTTAATAGTTTTTGGTTAAAATACTGTTATATTACATTGATATTCTATTCATACTGTGCTTGATATAATGCATTCATGGAAATGTAATATTTTTGCTGAAATGACGTACGTATTACAGTGGAAAGTGGGATAAAATCACGAAGAAAACAATCGACTTCCGCTTTCTTTCGTTGTTAAAAAGATGTTACCATAATTGCTTTTCGAATGATTTTCAGTTAAAAAAAACTGTTGTATTACAATAATATTCCCTCCTAATTGACTTGAATACTTGAATGGAAATATACAATATTTTTGCTGAAACTACCCGCGTTTCAGTGTAAAGTGTCGTAATAATGGTAAACAATTTGTCTTCGGCGCTCGGTGTTGCAGGCACGGCGACCCTCAGTTTATAGAACGTAGTGTTTATAGTGAAGGTTTTGCTGTTCCATTACCCTCAAAAACTTGGGTCGACCTATAAATGTGGCATATCATAAATTAATGATTTCTTGGTCAAAAAATCAGAGTCGACCTATAAACGAGGTAGAATTATAGACAAGTATATACGTATGTGCTGTTACCATTATTTGTATTGTCCAACACCTGGCAAACTACAGCGCCACCCAAACTACCATTAGTAGTATCAGTACAGTGCACGAAACAGACATGTGCTCTGTCTGGACAGATTGGTAAGACTGTCGGGTGAGCCGTTAGATCTACCAATATTGATGTGGTTTACTACCCCAATGGTAGTTTGAAGGGCACGGTAGTTTGCCAGGTATTGGACAATATAACGATACCAAAAAAGAAAAACTTGTGATACAAGTACAAACTAAAAATTTACAAACCTTACAAAAAATTAGACCTAAATTGTATAGGCGTTCAATAACCTACTGCTGTCGAAGAGCCCGTTGAAAGATTATGAACTAGACCAAATATACTGGCCCACTCACAGACAAACTTGCTGCCCTTGTTGCTTCAAAGCAAAATTCTAAACTTAAATTCTGATAAAAAACACAACAATGACTCAGAATAAAAACCTTCTAATATATCCTTACCCTATTGTTCTGAGAGAGCTGCAAATACTTATTTATAATGCTACAATACAAACCTCGACCATACAGTAGTCCAGGGGTGGGCAAAGCACGGCCCGCGGGTCACATTTGGCCCGCCAAATTTTTTCTGCGGCCCGCCATTGCACTTGGCAATCAGATTTTTTTTTTTTTATTAATTACAGAAAGGACAATTTTGGAAGTTGGGTGGACATAGCAGCAATACTGGCTCGTCACTGTTAACTTGATAGTGAGAACACCTGCATTAGGTACAGGTGTGGTATGGGAATCCATTAATTATAACTATTAGGTCAAGGGAGACTAAACCTTTTACCTGAGAACCCATCTTTGACCTCATGGGAATTCTCAACGTGTCTTTCTTCTCCAGAGGAACTGTTGCACCCACACCTCACCATCGTGACCTGACTCAGACGTCCAGCGCAGCAGCAACACTAATCGCATTCTCCTTTGTGCTGCTGACTGACACCACCCTACCTCCAGTACCCTAAGGAAGGAAGAGATGAGAACATCTGGACAGAAGTGGAATTTCAGCCATCAAAATCGATTCTGTCCTAATAATGTTGAAGCAATTAGTGCTAATTGCATTGCATTTTAACTATATTAGTATTAATAGTAGTATTAATATTAGTACATATCATAATAAATTATATTAGCTCAGATATGTGTTTATTTACCCACATTTTCACTATGTACTTTTTATCTTATCTTATTTCCTGTATTTACAAATACAAGGTTTTACTTTGTGTTAATATAATACATTTGTATCTACATTAAGTGTGTGGCCCGCGAAGTGGGCCACCATTCATGAAGTGGCCCTCCATCAAAAATAATTGCCCACCCCTGCAGTAGTCCCTGACGCCGGTGCTTTATAACCTAAGTGCAGTATGGCTCAACTCAACCTGGTACAGATATAAACCAAATAGATGCCATGAACACCACCCAACCTACACAATCTATAGTTTACGCTTATAATATTTAATAAATAGCCCACTAAGGCGCCCAGAAGCCCCAAGGCCAATATCTTAAAAGTAAGACAAATCCCGATTGACTCAGGAAGATAACCCAGGACAAGAAGGCCCCACACCACCAATTGTTAGCCTCATTATCGACCTAGTCATAGCGACTCTCTTATCGTTAACCTGACTTATCCACCTTGAGTTAAATAAACCCATTAAGCTACAAGTACCTACAAGCAAGGCAGCCAGAAAAAGGAACACAAACCAGGGACTAGGCTCATAGATTACGTGGAGGAAATTTATGATGCGGTGGAAGCATACGGCCGTGTAAGACGCACCCCCCCCCCCATTTTACCAGGGAGTATTTAAGAAAAAACTAATGTATCCACAGTACCAGTAAATGTGAGGAATATATAAAAATAATACCAATAAAGATACAGCAAAAATACTCTATTGCCAAACCAGTAAATAAAAGCTTTATGGCAGCTTAACACAGTCAACATACTGTACTCCCTGTTTACCATAGTTGCTATGGTCGGTTCCCTACCAACACACCACCACCAGCCATCCTCCAGCTCCCCCACTGAGCCAGCTAACTCGTGTACAGTATATTCCTTTTATGTGTTTGTCCTTAAAACAATTATTTCTTTTATTTTTTTTCACTGTATGTATGTAGGATGGTGTGTGCATGTATATCGGTAAATGCAAATGAAAAAAGCTGCGTATACTATATCTACCTGAAAATACCAGTTGAAAAACAACAGCTTGGCCCACTAGCCTGTTGCCTACAATGCCGCCACCAATGTTAACAGATGTAATGGTGAAAAGAGAGTTATCTGTAAATTTTCATTTGTATCAGGTCTTTGTAGATTTTAAAATAAATGTGGCAGGTATGGCATTAATAGATAGTAATGCTTGTTCATAAATGGTTACTGCTTAGCTGCCTCTCAAGAGTTGGGCATACAGACGTTAATTATCTCGGGTTATCATCAGTACAGTAATTATAAATCCGGCTTTTATTTTTACGATACGTAATTATCTTTTAATTAATTAAAAATAATGTGTAAAGTAAGCAAAACCATTTTTAATTGTGGAGTTAGGTTAGGTAGAATTTAGCCTTCTGGAGACAGCAACTGGGGGAATTCATTAGCTTACGGGAGACAACTTCACAAATAGGACGCAGGCTGATTTTTTAGCCCCCTTTCAGACAAAATAGTGTGTCTTATATGCCATAAAATATTGTACTCCTAGGGCTCTGCTATTAGCGCCCATAACCAGTTCTAAGGGACAACCCTACCACAGGAACCAAACCCAAAAAGGCACCTTTTTGCAAAATCTGCATCCATCCTCAAATGGGTTCGTCAAGCGTACAAATTGTAAAATTCTTTAGATTCTTCGACACGTGGTGAATCCGATGCACAGTTCCTGGAAGGACTGGCTTCCACAAGTAGCAGAATCCATCAATGGATCTATCAATAGCTTTTCAGGAAAATAGCCATACTACATAATTTATGGTGCCAAAAGATGCTTGCTCTATGATCAACTAGCAGGAACCCCACAACCTGTATGCAACATGGATGACCATGCCAAGAAGCAAATCAATGTTTTCACAGCATTCATGAAAAAGTACAAAAGCATTTAACAGCCTCACGTGCTGAAATGATCTGCAAGCAACATAAAAACCCAAGCCTGTAACTCCAAAAATAGGAGACGCAGTAACGACAAAAGCACCGGAACGTACATCAAAACTTTTGCCTAAATTCACAGGTCCCTACCTGATTAAAGGAAAAGAACATGGAAACAAATTTCATGTAGTTGACCCAACGACAAATGTCACTGACATAGTTCATGTAGATAGAATGATAAAAGTTAGCAGACACTTAGTAGGGACCCCTAATGTCCGTTAATTACAGCCTACTTCTACTACGACAGTTGCTCAACACAACAATAAACAATACATCACAACAATAGACAATAAATATCATCAAAAACTGTGATCAGCAAACAAAAAACATTAATTATCCTCACCCCTTTCAGGCATGGCTTGGATATCGCTACTCCTGTTGGCATGGAACGCTGTGGCAACAGCTGCATCCCCAGCAAACATCATCAAATCCAAAGCTTTAGTTGCCCCACTGAGCAAAGTACTTATAGTGGAAGATGTCGTAACTGTCAAGTACCAGCACCAAAGTTTAGTGATATATGCCTGAGGTCAATAGCTGTCCACATTGAAACAGCTATAAGTACACAAGATCTCAAACAACAGTCTACCATCTCACTTCATAACGCCTATATGAAGCGTCTACTCAAATGTGTATGCACTTGGAGGGAAAGCTGCCCACGACTCCTGAAGACGTCAGGAACAATGTTCATTCTCATAAAAACCGTGGTCTATTTAATTTTGTCGAGTTATTAAGTAACACCCTATTTGGTACGGCAACTGCAGAAGATGTAGCTAAACTAGGGAAACGAATGAACGTCTTAAACAGCAGTAAAAAAAAGTAATCAACTAACATGCATGCAACTGAAGCCTCTGTGCAAGCTTTCACTGTTACCAATGATCGGCTCATAGCCGATTCAGTGAATGCAGGTCTAGTCATGTAGATGCACAACTATTGCCGGTTGGTCAATTTATTGCCGCTTTACATATAGCTCACGGTCGCTACCTAATGATACTGGACACAGAAATAGTCCAGGTATGAATCCCTGGGAAGGATCTCATTTACCTAACAAGAGTAGTGTGCACCTTGGTGCTAACAATCAGCTGCAGTACCTGTGTATATTATTATTAGTAGTTTATATATGCACAAAAATGAAGGTCAGATTTGAGTCAAACACCAAAAGTACACACGAAAGAAAACTTATTCTTATACCAAAAAAGCCAACCCACCAAACTTAACCTAACTTATAGGGAAATGAAGAGAAAACACGGGCTTAGTGAGGAGTATAACCTCAGGTAAACATGGCCTGCGGACAGTCAATGGATTAACCTTCCTTTTGTCAGAAAGTAAAAATTCACCTAGGAATCTTTTTCTTGTGTAATAAACAACAGAAATATGGTTAGTTATCATGACTTTTGTTATAGAGGATAATAAATAACACGATACAGTATGTCCACCTGTGCTTGACGACTCCACTACCTGTGCTTGATGACCCCACACCTGTGTTGACGACGACCCAACATAATCTACTAAATTAACCATTAAATTCGTTTTATCTCGCCACAATATTATATATAATAAGCACTTGGCATTATAATTATTATATATCTGATATAATATTGTTATTAAATGTGTTACCAAGGGCTCAGCCAGTTGTTTCCTGGACTGTCAAATGGTTCTTTACACTCCAAGTCCGCCATGTTTGCTTCACTAGGTACGAGGCTTGGCACTCTTGGCCTCACGCACCTAAAACAAAAATAACAAAAGTTTATAATTTATTTAATCTGTACATTAATGTATAATAGAATGTGTTTGCATTAAGATAGAATAAAAAAATATGTTTCTATTTCATGGATATCCTTTTACATTAATGTTGATCTATTGTGATACTTTACTGTACTTATTTTGAGAAAGTTATATTTGGTCTGAGCATTTTGAGGAACATTGTGGGAATATTTAAATGTATGCAGAGTTCCATATAAAAATGGCAATAATTGAGATGTACAACGATAATTATTGAATCAACATTACTGTATAGACGAGAATGAAGAGCATGTGTGAGAACAATGTTCATGATAGTAGGAACAGGAAAAACATAAATAAGGAAGAGGGTCTGTTCCAGTGATGAGTAGAAGCATAGTACAGAAGTAGGGAGAGGGGATATCCCAGATGGAAGGATAAGGCGAGGGCTGAAATAAAAGTGGGGGAAATGGACATCCTGAAAGCAAGTGTGTGCATGTAAATATGAAGCACAGTACAGCATAGTTATATTTCAGGAGGGACGTTTTGTTAGATTGTATGAAGCGATAAGATACACCCAACTTTGGAAGAACACATCTCTTATAGGAGTGAATGCTGTGGGTAATAACGAATGAAGAGAGTATTTACACATTTCCAGCCACATCATATTAAACGATCGAAAATTAATATTCACTAAATTTATCAGTAATTTTATATTTATGAGACAATAACCATAAGACTGATCCTCAGTTCTTAACATCTTCACTTATACAGACTTTTATCCTGGACAGGCACACAGTAGAGTACTTTAATTTAGTACAGGTACTGTACTGTGCTGTATATTTTGTCATTTACGTAGAAGATTGAAGAGCTAAACTCTCACCTTTGTTGTTTAGGCACCATTTATTAAACTCATACTGTGTACTGCAATGTGCTTTCACATCAATAAGGATCAAGTTCAACTTATGTTTAAAGTAACTAATTTAAGGACTGTTCTGATACAGGTTAATATAAACAACTTTGTCTCCAAGTAAAATCTTTGCTAGCTGGATAACTAGAAAACTAAATGCTGTACAGTATTCCTTTTTCTGGACTTTTTTTTTTCAAAGAAAATTGGGCGAAAATATTCCTACTAGTCCTGTCAGCTTGAATGCAGCTGAGCCAGTTGGAATAATTTGATGCACTACAGACCACAAGATGATAGATGGCTGCAAATAATGGGAAACAATTAATTGTTTTTCTACTGTATTTAATAAAGATACTGTACTAAGCATTGGACGACACCTGTAATGGGTGATGGCTTCCTGCCCAGCCCAGTGAAAATCAAAACATAATTCACAAGTTTCTTTAAATTTCCTTTATTTTTTCTTATCCCGTCTGGTAAAACAGTGACCACAAACTTGTGTACACGTATTCCTCAGGCTAGCAGAGGTTTTACGATACAGTACTTAACAAAGTTATTTTATACGTAATGTATATTAATGCATATTTTAGATGGTATCCACACATATACCTAGAACTTGAGGAACAGTGATGATGCATAATGCTGTAAACAAAGCACAAACCTTTCCTCAAACAAATGTAAGCATTTAATGATAACATCAAGGACAAATAACCAAATCATATTGACCATCTATGGTGAAACATGACAATATAAGGAAGGCACCAATGAGGAGCCCAAATTTACAAAAATGTATTATTAGCCCAATTGGGGACATTAATTATTACCATACACACTCTTTTGCACAGTGAGGCAAATGAATGACTTTCAAGTATTTTTCATTAACTCAGTAATAAGTACTACCCAAGGACTAGTCTGAAACTCTTGCATATTGATCATATTATAATCTATTCATTGCATATACAGTACCAGTAAATTGGCTAGAGGAGGACTGTGGCTCTTAATGCTACTCCTCTTTACAGTTCAGTGCTCTTTTTCTAATTCCTTGTAAAAGCCAAATTCAAAAATACCATTCAGGACATTATATTATTATTTTGAATTAGGTATTCTTGAGAATAATTTATTCATCAAAAAGAGAAAACATTACCTTCATGTATTTAACAAAATACATCTAAGATGTACAGTACAACAAATTCTCATAACACTTTCTTTCCACAAACCTTCTGGTACGAATGGCTAGTTGTATTTGTGTTGTTTAATTCTAGTTGCATTTATAAAGTTCCTTGCAAGGAATGTAATATGTTTTACTTAGGCCATTCATAACCTTCATGTCCATAAACCTAATAGGCAGGGACGGTTTTTCGTTATACACATGAGTAAAAACCCCAACAAAACCAGACCTAAACCTACTGTGTGTGTTGGTATACGTTCTCGAGTTGTTGGTAAGGTTTAATGTTAGATTTTCTTAATGTTTCTGAATGTAAAGTGTACTGATAAGATATTGTATTTGATGTTGTTGCTAGGGGTAGCGGCGAGTCAGACGTATTAACCCATAACAATTTTAATAGCTCTGTGTGCCAATTGTAATACATGGCATAACACTAACTAAACCAAAGTTTTAATCATACCTTAATTTAAATTCCTGGCGGAGGGTGAATCAAGTCCTGGTGTAGTTAACTGTGGTGAATACTCTTGTAGTTCCCACATGTTTTAATTGACTTCACTTCAAAAAGGACACTTGGAAAATTCACTACGGTACCTCGTCGTACTTTTAATGTTCACTAGAAAAAGGGATTCCACGCGTGAATTTTTCTTTAACCTTCAATTAGGTTCACTACCTCCGTTAACACTATTTATTTCCATTAATCCAATCAAGTTATGGGCCCATAACACTTCACTTGGCATCAGTGACAAATATCCTCTAATCTCATTGAGTCACGTCAGGTCACTTCACCTTTTAACCAATATTTCCCATATATTAACACAACACTTCACGTTACGGGCCCTCCAGCACTCCACAACACCGAACACTTCCACTTATATCAGTATATAACACCGAAAGAGTATCAAGTTTTTAAGGCAATTGTCAAAAATGAAGGAATAATGCACACGTCCACCTTGACCATGTACTGGACACGACCAGCGAGTCATGTTGTGGCTGTCAGCTGGCCCACACATGTTGCCATATCGCCGACATTTATTTATTTTTAATTCTCTATCGTATAAATCGTTGTTGATGTTAGAATAATGACGTATATCAATTATATTCTAATTTATCTTATTATTATTATTATTATTATTATTACAGTTAATATTATCATTATTATTTTATTTTTTATTTCGTTTTATCATAAATTTTATTTATGATGATGATGATGATGATGATGATGATGATTGATTATTATTATTATTATTACTATTATCATTATTATTATTATTATTATTATTACATTTTCGCCCCCCAGGCCCCGATGTGGGTCAGCGACCTGTGCCCGGGTGAGCTAATCCCCGTAAAACAAAACTATCAAACAAGCACTGGAACGACTCTTTACGGTACTTAAACAACAATTCAATAATTATCTTATCACTCATATATTACCGTTACTATGCGAGATTTAAATTACTTTGTAGAAGATTTTAACGAAGACGAAAACAAATAAATAAAATAAAATCAATAAATAAAACATGCTATACGGGGTACTCGACGGAGGCCTCCTCCCCACCCTGACCCCGCCTCCCTTGCCTGCTCTTTAATGGAGGACTGGGCACGAGCTTCCTCCCCTGAGGCACTTCCAGATCCACTGCAGGAGGCAGTGCAGGCCCGCGTCTGAGCCTGTTGTTCGTGCTGCGCTTACCTCCCCTGCCCCCACTGATCATCCCATCACAGGCAGGTAAGCGCCGCTCCTCTAGTCTCCTTTATATACGTGTAAATTTTTTGCCCGACTGCCTACAGTCAAAATGGCCAAGAGAAATGGTTATTCTTTTGGGTAGTGTTTAATATACTTAATTATGGCGTAATAAATGCTGATTTAAGTAAAAACTTGCCGGCCGGTTGATACAGTTCACTTGCCTCATAGGGTCGTATCCCCAAGTTTCACTGGGCTCTAAGGCCCATGGTACCTACTGTGCAGCTTAAACAAATACATTAATATGGTTTAGTATTATATTAAGTGGCTCTCTAACGTCTAACCAGTAATTTCTTAATGTTTTAGGCAAATATACCGCAAATGAGTCATGACAAACGAGCCTAAACTATGAGCCGGTAGTGAGTAACGAGCGTAAACCGTTCATCAGTATTTAGGTAATAATTAACCAGTAAGTGAGTACAATGACCAGATTGGGTTAGATTACTGTTTTATTTATTTTTTATTTCTTGCTTCGAAGCCCAACACACTTATGGGGGAGCCGGGTGGTCATAACTCAACAACTGCGCAGTTCATCACCACCACTGTATTCACCATTGACAACTGCGCCGCATTCACTAGATTTAACACAAATAGAAGTATTTTTGGCGGAATTAAGATGTATTTTTACTGGCTAGTTCTTTGCTTTCTCTTTAGCTACGATTTCTGGGAGTTGAAACAATTTATTAAGGGTTCTAGCCGGGCGGGGTGAGGCGAGGGAGGAGCCGGGCGGGGGTGTGAGCGGGTGGGGAGCCAGGCGGGGGTGGGAGGCAGGGGAGGGCCGGGCAGGGGTGAGGCGATGTAAGGGGAGCCGGGCAGGGTGGGGGAGGCCGAGGTAGGGGCAGGGCGGGGTGAGGCAAACGAGGGAGGGAGGGAGCCTGGCAGGGAGGCAGGAGCCAGGAAGCTTGGCGGGGCGAGGTGGTGGGGAGCCGGGCAGGGGTGAGGCAGTAGGGGAGCCAGGCAGGGGTGAGGCAGGGAGGGGAGCCGGGCAGGGTGGGCGGAGTGGGGAGCCAGGCGGGGTGAGGAGGAGCAGGTAGGGGCCGGGCAGCAGGGTGAGGCGAGGTGGGGCCAGGCGGGGTGTGAGGCGAGGGAGGGAGGGGCCTGGCGGGGTGAGGGCGATGTAAGGGGCCGGGCAGGGGCAAGGCAGGGGAGGGAGGCCGGGCAGGGGTGAGGCGGTGGGGAGCCCGGGCGGGGTGAGGCAGAGCGAGGGAGGGAGGGCCTGGCGGGGCGATGTAGGGGAGCCAGGGCAGGGGTGGGAGCGAGGAGTGGGAGCCGGGCAGGGTGGGCAGGGAGGGCCGGGCAGGGGTGAGGGGGAGGCCGGGCAGGGGTGAGGCAGGTAGAGAGCCGGGCGGGAGGTGGGAACTTGAGGAGGAGCCGGGCGGGGTGTGAGGCGATGAGGGAGGCCGGGCGGGGTGAGGCAGGGTAAGGAGCCGGGCAGGGGTGAGGAGCGATGTAGGGGAGATCGGGCAGGGTGAGGCGATGTAAGGGAGCCAGGCGGGGGTGAGGCGGAGTGGGGGCTTCGGGCAGGGGGTGAGGCGGGGAGGGAGCCAGGCAGGGTGAGGCGATGTAGGGAGCCAGGCAGGGTGAGGCAGGGTGGGGCTGGGCAGGGTGAAGGCAGGGAGGGGAGGGAGGAGCCTGGCGGGGGCAGGCAGGGAGCTTGGCGAGGCGAGGTGTGGTGAGGGAGCCAGGCAAGGTGAGGTGAGGGAGGGAGCCGGGCGGGGTGGGGGCCGAGGTGGGGAGCCAGGCGGGTGAGGCAGAGGTGGGGAGCCAGGCCGGGGTGAGGCGGGGGCCAGGCAGGGGTGAGGGAGGAGGCGATGTAGGGGGCCAGGCGGGGTGAGCGAGGTGGGGAGCCGGGCAGGGAGGTGAGGCAGGGGAGGGAGGGAGCCTGGCGGGGCCGAGGAGCAGGGGAGGCAGCGAGGCGAGGTGTGGTAGGGGAGCCGGGCAAGGTGGGGAGTGAGGGAGGAGCCGGGCGGGGGTGAGGCAGGTAGGGAGCCGGGCCGAGATTCAGGAGGAGCGAGGGAGGGAGGAGGGAGCCTGGCAGGGCAGGGCAGAGGCCTGGCGAGGCGAGGTGAGGTAGGGAGCCAGGCAAGGTGAGGTGAGGTAGGGAGTCAGGGGAGGGAGGGAGAGAGGGAGGGAGGAGGGGAGCCGGGCAGGGGTGAGGCAGGTAGGGGAGCCGGGGCGTGGTGAGGTGAGGGAGGGAGGGGGCCTGGCGGGGCAGGTGAGGTGAGGTAGGGAGCCAGGGCTGGTGAGGTGAGGTAGGGAGTGGAGGGGGAGGGAGGTAGGAAGGAAGGAAGGAAGGAAGGAGGAAGGAAGGAAGGAAGGGAGGAGGGAGGAGGGAGCCAGCCGGTCTGGGTAAGGCGAGGCGAGGCAAAGGGAGGGAGCCGGGCGAGGCGAGGGATGGGGCGAGGCGAGGGATGGGGCGAGCCTGGCGGTGCGAGGCGAGGTAGGGACCCGGGCAAGGTGAGGTGAGGTAGGGAGCCGGGCGAGGCGAGGTAGGGAGCCGGGCTAGGCGAGGTAGGGAGCCGGGCGAGGCGAGGTAGGGAGCCGGGCGAGGCGAGGCGAGGGAAGGGGCGGGGCGAGGCGAGGTAGGGAGCCGGGCGAGGCGAGGTAGGGAGCCGGGCAACGTGAGGTGAGGCAGGGGGCGGGGCGGGGCTAGGCTAGGCTAGAGGGCGAGACGTTTCAGAATACAGTATATATTAAATCCCGTAACATTAAGGTTCCTGGTAATTTTTTAAAAGTGGACAACCATGGATTTTACAATCGGAAAAACCCATTGGTCAACAACCAAAAAGCACCATAACTAACCTAACAACGTAACGTAACGTAACCTGGAGGTTCCTTGGTTGTCTCCTGGTGAAAAAAGGTACACAACAATTAGAAAGTAAAACAAAATAATATTAGCGCATTTGTGTTTAGATCGGTTATGACCTCCATTTCCGTCGGAAATTGGTCGTTTTTTATAGATTGTTTTGGTGAGGTGTTTTCCGAAAAAAATATTGGCTCGGCGAATGCAAAATGCAAAAAAAAAAAAACCCTATAAAAACATAAACCGGACCTAATCTAACTGACTCTCACCATATGTTGGAATCCCTTATTTCTTACCTTATTGGCCTGGTTCTCGTTGGAGTTACCACATGTGTTGGTCTTGGCGACACTTACATTCGTTCTTGCATTAATGACACTTTACGGAGGTCGGGAAAACAACATGAGATCTAAAAATGCTATAGTTTTAGTGTGGAGGTAATGGTTTATGTAAGCAGTTGGGGACAGTGAGTACACGTAGTAGATGGAAGTTGCAAGTTTAATTTTCATTCTACGTAAATTACAACTTTAAGCATGTTGCAGGTGACAGCTGGTGTACTTGAAGGCCAATGGAGAAGTGACAGAACCTTGAGCAACATTTAACACCCAGCATGTTACTTCAGCCTCATCAGTTAAGTTACTTCACATATTATCTTGACTATTACTGTATGGTCAGCCAATAAACCACTCAACACTGTGCTCCTACACTGGGGCAGTGGAGGGTGTGTGTGTGGGACCTGGCTGACTGTGCATGTTGGAGGGCTCTGGAGGACTGTGTGTGTGTGTGACTGACTGACTGACTGTGTGTGTGTGTTGGAGGACTGTGTGTGTGTGTGTGTGTGTGTGTGTTGGAGGACTGTGTGTGTGTGTGTGTGTGTGTGTGTGTGTGTGTGTGTGTGTTGGAGGACTGTGTGTGTGTGTGTGTTGGAGGACTGTGTGTGTGTGTGTTGGAGGGGACTGTGTGTTGGAGAGGGACTGTGTGTGTGTGTTGGAGGGACTGTGTGTGTGTGTGTGTGTGTGTGTGTGTGTGTGTGTGTTGGAAGACTGTGTGTGTGTGTGTGTGTGTGTGTTGGAGGACTGTGTGTGTGTGTGTGTGTTGGAGGGACTGTGTGTGTGTGTGTGTTGGAGGACTGTGTGTGTGTGTGTGTGTGTTTTGGAGGACTGTGTGTGTGTGTGTGTGTGTGTGTGTGTGTTGGAGGACTGTGTGTGTGTGTGTGTTGTGTGTGTGTTGGAGGACTGTGTGTGTGTGTGTGTGTGTGT